GGATGGAGGACAACAGAGCTGCTTCATGGAAGAACAACCTCAGCTTAGCCTGTTAGCGTTGATGCTATATTGCCTTATATGTATTAGCTTGGTGCTAACGCAACAAACAAACAAGCTAAACTGAGGTCCTCCTTCCATATTTTCAGTTCCAGGCCGAGTTATTTTTGTGTTCTCCTCTCTGTCATGTGGATGGAGGACCTCAGTGAAGAGAGGAGAATGTGTAGCGCTAAGCTAATACATATATATGGTGATAGCGTCGGGGTTAATGCTAAAGCTAACAGGCTAAGCTAACACCAAARTTGACAAAGATTTGTACATTTTTAACAAAAATAAAAACGTCTTTTATGTCCACCTCTAATGAGCAAAATCTTTAGTTTCATTAATTAGAAACAGGTGCTGTTATGACGTTCGTCATGCTGCTGACACCTCAGTCTTCATCGTAAATYGGTGTGTTTTTGTTTTTCCTCAGACGACACCTGACAGGAAAATCTCACACGATCGCGTCCTGACCCACCAGGTGTCCGTCGGTGACAGCTGGATTTCTGGAGAATCTGCTGCAGCTCAGAGGAGCAGCTCTCCAGAGGTGAGACGAAGAAGAAAGATGATAAAAAAAACATTCAAAGTAATAAACCTGTCGAGCACCGCAGTGATTTATGGATTTAAACCCGGGAATAAAAAATAACTTTCAGGGAGATAAATCAAACAAGTTTTTTTTCCTGTCAGGTTAGTTTAGGTTTAGATTTTTGTTGTTGAGTAAATGATGTAATGTGTCAGATCATCCAGTAGAGGGCACTGATGAGTTTAACTTCTACCTGCAGAAWTCCATTATTTTTTCAGCCCTATTAGCAGCTTTACTTCATGTAGTTCTACTGAAGATTTAATCTTCAATCTTGAACAGTTCTTGTGTCTTTGTAACATTCAGAAGGGTATCTCCTCTGATAGTGGTCTCATCCACTACAAAACAATGTGGTGTTTTCAGAATGCTAACATTGCTTCCTCATGGAATAGTATGACTGTGATTAATGYGAAATATGATTTATTTCCATGTTTTTTTCCAGTCGGGAGAAGCGATGAGACAGGTACGACTCAGACTGGCCGCCTGTCGGCTGATCCAGCAGGACGACACTTCGTCAGATCTTCCTGGAGGCAGATGGAAAGTCTCTCCTACCAGACATGTGAGCGTTTGTTTCAGTCTCTTAGTTCCTCTTTTACCAGACACATTTTTTTCTTTTATTTATTTCCTGTATTTGAAAACCTTTCCCCCTCTCCTCAACAGAGACATAATTTTCACATGCTGAGGCCAGGAGAAGATGTTCTGGAAGAGGAAGAACAGGAAAAAACTGACGTTCCTTTCTTCTCTGGTCACCATGAGTGTCCGCTTGTTCAGCAGAAGGTGACTGAATCCCCAGCATGCAACGGGACTTTAACTCAATCATGCATACTTGCAGATCTTAAGTTTAGAATCTCTTTTTTGTGACGTGATATTTATCAAATAAAATCAACGAGTTAAGATGCAGCTTTCTTTAGAAGCTTACCTGATCTGTAAACCTTTCATCGCTAAATGTTTTGTGTGACATAACTTCCCACACTATGTTTCACTTCACTAAATCATATTTAAGATCTCACACATGTAGGAATTAAAACATTTAAAACACAAAATGTTTCCTTCACACACATGAGTCACTTCCCAACACATYCTCACTTGCAGGTTTATAAAGACCTGACTTCCTTTATTTTAGATCCTTTATCACCAAACTTTATCACTAAATAATGTTGCATTTTTTAATTTGAAATGGCTGCTGATTATCCTACTTTAAGAATCATATCCAATGCTGCAGGTTCCCTTTTTATTGTCAATAAATTGTAGCTGAAGCTTTTAGATGAGAAAAACAAACTTTTTATAAGAGKATTATAATTTGCTTCAAGAATGATGCATGAAAGACCAAACATGTGACATTTCATCTTTTAATACTTTGTCTGTGGCGCTTTATTTCCTTAAGTTTAAAGGTTTTAAATATCTAACAACTGTAACAGCTGAAAACAGTGGRACTTTGTTTTAATTTAAATAATGACCCCAAAAGGATCAAACAGTAGTTGAATTTCCTAAATGCTAAGCTACATTGTAGCCACAGCTGCCCTGGGGCACACTGACATRGCACCGCCTCTGACCATCACCAGTAGGCAAGGCAAGGCAGGTGAAGTGTCTTGCCCAAGGACACCACAACTGTCCTCCAACCAGCCGGTCGAGGCAGATGGTCTCCTGTCCTGAGCCTGGTTCTGCTGGAGGTTACTTCCTGATTAGCAGGGAGTTTTTCCTCTCCACCGTTTGCTCAGGATGGGAGACTGTGATGAAGTGATTCAACACAATCTGCTGCTTTCTTCTTTACATTGTTCTTTTTATCTACAGTGTCCTGAGACAACGTATGTTGTGACTTGGAGCTATATAAATAAACTGAACTTGAACTGAGACGGCTGGACCGGGTATCAAACCGGCGACCTTCCGGTTCCAGGACGACTCCCCTAACCACTCCACCACAGCCGCCGACAACATAAACTAGTAGCAGGCTTCTCCCCCAACATTTGTTTCTTTACCTTTTCGTGACAAGATTTTGCGTTCCATCTCCGCTGCGCAGGTCGCAGCTGTGTGTTTCAAGTCCAGTTTACACTACCTCCGCTCCGCTCCGGTCCGACAGACGTGCAGGAAGCAGATCGCGCGATAAATTCAGTGTTAAGTGTGAAAGTCACAGCAAAAAATAATTAATTCTGTGAAAGACGAACTCCAAACMCAGCTGAAAACAACGATATAAAGGCTTCTGGTATCTATGTTGAAACTGTCTCGCTGTCGGCTTTCTGAAACTTCTGATTTCAAAATAAAATCCATGTGTATCGTGTGTCCACACACACACATACAGATATATTTCTACACAAATGCTGTCAGAATGTATTGTTCTGTTTGGGAAGCAGATGGAAACATGTAGCATGAAGCATATGTGTGGACACACGATACACATGGATTTCAAAATAAAATCCATGTGTATCTTGTGTCCACACATATGCTTCATGCTACATGTTTCCATCTGCTTCCTAAACAGAACAATACATTCTGACAGCATTTGTGTAGAAATATATCTGTATAATATAGCTGCAATTTTGACATTATTCCGACAAATTATCCAGCCTAATAGTGTCTTATTTTGAAAATACGGATGTTGTGCTCGTTTCTTTTCCTGTTGGTGTGACGTAATCTTTAAAAATTGACTCCGGCGCTGCTCCGGCATCCGTCAAAAATAGGATTTTGATGGATCGCCGTCCGCTCACCGCAGCCGTGCGCAGCCAGTGTAAACACTCTCATTGATTATAATGGGTGTGTATTTGCTGCGGAGGTCGGACCGGAGCGGAAACGTAACGCATGTAGTGTAAATTGGGGGTTAGTCTAAAACGAAGCCCTTTTTATGTTTGTCAGTAAATAATTCAAAATACGTGTTTTTRAATCCTGACTTTATTTAGCAAAACATGTTTAGGATGTGTGATTGTTACGTTTATTGTTTATAAATGAGTGTTTTAAACATCTCAGTACATGCCTACAGCCAAGTGGTTCACACTGGAGGGTTATTAGTTCAGTCTCAGTAGGTCAATCAGTGTTTAGTATTTGTGTTACAAAGACTGTAAGAGTTTTAAATGATTGATTAGGTTATGAAAAATAAGTAAATCTTTAACCATTTAGACTTTCTAAGAGTTTTTCTGATTGTATTTCAGGTGGGAGGGCAGGCACTGTGGGATCCAGAAACCTCCCCTCCTGATGCTGGTTCCAGAGCCCCACAGTTTCTCTGGCCTCTGACCAACCATGAAAAAGAGAAAAAGCAGGTAGAAGTCTTAGTCTGCAGTCGTTGGACTCCTGTCTGAGTGAACAGTTACAGGTGACTCGTCGTGTCTCCGCAGCRTCAGTCTCAGTTCCTGCTGCGGCGCCGTCAGGCCATGAACAGGGAGCGAGAGCAGGCGAAGCAAAACAAACAACTCAGGAAACACCTGAAGAGAACGGCCAGGTGAGGAAGTCTCTCTTCACTCATCTGTTTATTCATTCCATTTAAAACACTAGAAGCACTGGGAGAGTGCAAACCTCCACCAAGACCAGTTTCCCCATCCTGTAAGAGTTAATGCACAAAAGCAGAGATGAAACACATTTACTGAATAAGTTCTGACATAGTGAACATTTAAGCAGCAGTATGATGGGATTTCTTCTGGTGGAGTCCAATGTGAAAAACAAAAAGTCAGACTGGTCACCTGACATTATACATGGTCAAACTGGTGTGGGATTAAGCTCCTAAGTTTCCATCAGTCACATTTCACCATGTAAAACGTCTGTTTTATCTCCTTGTATGAGTTTGTAATGGTTTGACTCT